CCCAAGATGACTGAACCAGGCCCATATACCTTTTTCTCCCTCTCTTTCTTGGGAATAAAATGCTCTTATCTGCCTTTCCAAATCTACTGCAAAAAAAAGGGAAACCTTTCTCACTGTTAGGTCTGTCACTAGAAACTCCAATTTGTTCATGATGTTGGAGATCCATTGGTTCTACCTGTGACCAATTTTCCTTAGTCCCAGATGCCACTGTCAGTTATACCCACAAGCCTCCAGGGGTTACCCATTGGGTTAGGCTGTTACAGTCAGGTGTTCCCATGCCTTTCTCCAACCATAACAATACACCTCCACCATCTGCGGGACCATTATTCCCTGACACCCTTTTTGTTATTAAAATGCCATCTGTTTCTCTGTGCCCAAGGGAAGTGCAAGAAGGCTAACTCCTCTTTTCAAGGCTTTTAGAAAAGACTCCTTTGGACTGGGATGGTACCTTACAGAATGTCATCCCAATTCCTGTGACCCCCTAGCTTGGAAAGGCCAATCAGGAAATTCTAGCTAATGAAACTATCGGTAACTAGACCTTAGCTGGAGTTCCCTGTGCTTCACCTGGTTTTATCTTTGTCTGCAGTGGGTGACATTTCTCACGGACGTAAGAATGTTTAGATAGCTGGTGAATCAGAGGTCAGCGCTGATGGGGACATTAAACTGTCAACATCGGTAACAAATCGGAAGCCTCCCGTTGGTTCTCCCCATTAAACCTCCACGGCTGCCTTAACAGGAACTTCCAGGAAGCACACATGACTCTGGGTTTGCTTCCATAGGGAGAGTCCTTCTCCCACTGGTTGCTGAACGTGCCAACGAACACAGGATCAGAAATCGCTCCCTAACGTCAGCAGGGCTAGCCAGCTCCACAGCCACGGCAGCAGCAGCCCACCGATGATCACGCGACTCGCTGGCTAAAGTAGTTTTGGACAATCATATCTACTTGCCGAACAAGGAAGCATTTGTGCAACAGCAAATACCATCTGTTGCTTATGGATTAGTGCCTCTGGGAAGATACAATTCAACTACACAAGAGCAGGATGCAAGTATACTGGTTACGTCAAATTTCACCTGACTCTCTGTGGTCCTTTGACCTGTTCAGCTGGCTATCTTTGGGTCTAGGGTTATGGTTTAGAACCATCAAATGACTTGGATTTGTCATGTTACTTTAACTGTTTTGCATAATTATTTATAACCTTTGTACTTGTTGCCTGCCAAATCTCTGCAGAGGTGATGCATCAAATAGAGTAACATTAACACTTTTGAGATCATCTCCAAAGCTATGACCTTGATAAGATACAGACTTTAGACGAGAGGTGTCTGAGAGTTCTCCTGCCTACCCTTCCTTGTTACTCAAATAGGGCTTCTTCAATTCCAACTTGTGCACTTTCCCTCTGACATGGGACATGACAACCAGGAAAGGTCCTTCCTCGCACCAAGGGAACAGAACCACCGAAACGTGACTCTTGAGCAATGATGCTTTTGGGGAAAGATCTTGATCAAAGGGGGAAAAGTGAAAATAAATAAAGAAAACTTCATTTAAAAATGGAGTTGAGAAGCCCTGAAGGGAGAGAGCTCTCATACGCTACCTCTCACTGCCACTTGCAGACCCCAGCAGGAAGTTTCCTCTCCCCAGCAGAAGGAAGATTTGCCCAGCACACAGTAACAGCCCATTCAGCTAATGAGAAGCTGATGCCACCCTGCACTCCTGCTCTTCTCCAATGAACTTTTGTTTGAAGCAGACCCTCTCCACTCCCCACCTCCATAAAAGCATGCTTCTCTCTTTTGTTCTCCAGAATTTCCTGTGATTCACCATAGTTTTCCTGTCCCAAACTGCAATTCCTCCACCATTTCCAAATAAACTCATTTTGCTGGTACATTAACTGGCTATTTAATTTTTAAGGTTGGCACACCATACACAAAAATAAATTCAAAACAGACTAAAGACTTGAACCTAAGACCTGAAACCATAAAACTCCTAGGACAAAACTTAGGTGGTGAGTCCCTGACAATGGTGTTGGCAATGACTTTTTAAAATCTGACACCAAAAGCAAAAACAGACAAGTGGGACTGCATTAAACTGAAAGCCTTCTGCACAGCCAAGGGAACCATCAACAAAACGAAAAGGCAACCTACTGAATAGGAGAAGATATTTGCAGATGATATAACCAATAAGGGGTTAATATTCAAAATAAACAAAGAAGTCATATAACTCAACATCAGAAAAAAACAAACAATCCAACTAAAAATGGGCAGAAGATGTAAATAAACATTTTCTCAAAGACATAAAGATGACCAACAGGTACATGGAAAGACACTCTACTTCGCTAATCATCAGGGAAATGCAAATCAAACCCATAATGAGGTATCACAATACATCTGTTAGAATGGCTATTACCAAAAAGACTAGAAATAATAACTGTTGCAGAGGATATGGAGAAAAGGGAACATCTGTGCACTACTGGTGGCAATATACACTGATGCAATCATTATGGAAAACAGTATGGAGGATCCTCAAAAAATTAAAAACAGAATTACTGTATGATCCAGCTATTCCACTTCTGGGTATTTATCTGAGGCAAACAAAAATACTAACTCAAAAAGATATGTGTATGTCCATGTTCATTTCAGCATTATTTACAACAGCCAAGAAATAGAAACAACCTTAGTGTCTATCAATGGGTGAATGGATAAAGAACTTGTGGTATATATACCCAATGGAATATTATTCAGCCATATAAAAGGAGCAAATCTCTCCATTGGTAACAATATGGATGGACTGTAAGGGTATTATACTAAGTGAAGTAAGTCAGAGAAAGACAAATACTATCTGATCTCTTTCATACGTGGAATCTAAAAAAGAAAGAAAGAACTCAAACAAGCTCATAGATACAGAGAACAAATTGGTAGTTGCCAGACGTGGGGTTGAGGGTGTGAGAGTAAAGGGTGAACTGTTTTTTATTTTTATTTTTAGTGTGTTTAAATAAATTGAATTTTCGAAAAAGAAAAAAAAAGGTCAATAGAAAATGACATCAAATAATTGAATAAAGTATTAAAACAAAACAAAACAAAACAAAACACTTTCACAACTGCCCAACAATATCAATTGCATTTAGGTAATCTAGCTAGCCTTTTTTTTCCCACTGAAAAACTTTCGGTAGAATTACTAAAACTAGAATAAAAGTGTATTTGACTATGTGGACCCAGAAACCAGCAGGCAGAGATAATGAAAAGCAAGCCCAGAGGCAAACTGAGAACGTGAACTACACGGAGCACTAGGAAACCCATGAGGATAAAAACCTCACAACACTGCGTGAATGTATTTAATGCCACTGCATTGTACACTTACAAATGGTTAATGTTGTGAATTATACGTTATGCATATTTTTCTACAATGAAATAAATTTAAAAAACCCCTAAAACTCCAAGAACTCAGGATTTGGTCCATCCTATAATGTGTTCAAATATTAGAGCATTCAATAAATATTTGTTGAGTAAAACTAGAGAAAGTGAGTTCACTGATAGGATCTGTGTACCTTTTTCTAGTTTCTACTTCTGTCAACTCTTAAAAAGGATAGTGGGAAGATAAACTAAATACTGCTTACAAGAAACATGCCTTGATGGTTTACTGTTTATAACATCTACTTATATTTATAACATCAGCTGTTTCCTATCTCTTCCCACACTAATGAACTCAGAAAATCAAGGAAGAAATTCACTTGTCTCAATTAAAAGCACAAGAAAAAAGGCTTTATGTGTGTTTCAACAGGGAAGCAAGGTGGTGGGCTGAAATCTAACTGATGGTTGAAATATAAGTAGGGTCTCCTGAGAGTCCACCATGGCAAATTAAGGCTGCCGTGGCTCACCAGCTTAGAGTAACTTGTTCCACCAGCAAGATCAGGACACCTGGTATTCATCATTCATGTGCTTCAAAAATGCGCTTCAAAACTCAGTAATAAATTCCAGCATGCTTTTAGTTTTAGAATTTATTCACACCTTCACCAGACTGAGAAAGACTATTTATCCAGAGAACCATCACTGACGGATGCCCTCTCACGGCAACCCTTGAGGGATTTATGAATGAACAACTAACTCATGGTTAAAAACCAGTGTACCAGCTTACACATACTTTCCTAGTTGATAATACTTTATAATATGCTAGACAGATAAAAATCTGTTTCCTGACCCTTTTAAACTCACCTGTTCGGGTAGCATTAGAGTCTTCTGGAAGCAGAGACTTCTTTGTGCCTGATCCTGTAAAAACAAAATAGCCTGTGATGAAAGGACACTTCATATTTAACTAAGAACAATGTGTTTCTTTCTGCCCCTGAGGTGGCGGTAGAATGGGGGGCGAGAGATTATTCTACAGGAAGTTCTACTGTTGCCACTGTTGCTATGGAACACACCTCAAAACTGTCAGTAAATCTAGTAGTGGTATTTAGCATTAATAAGTAAGACCAAGAACATACAGCTAATAACTTACATAGTACTTACTGCGTACCAGCCACTGATACAATAGGTTTGCCAAAGTTCATTAACCACATGAGGACACAGTGATTGGTGAGGAATTTCTACGGACCACTCTGCTCTTCTGATTAGAGTGGACCATGTGGCGAGGGGCTCTTACTATTAATGGGTGCCCCTAAGTCTTGCACCACCAACACCCCTAAATTCATACAATGGAGAGAAGATGAAATGGGTAAAGATTATGATTTTAAATCGCAAGACTTCTCAATATAAATCTTTTAATTTTTAACTAGTACCTTAAAAGCTGGAAAAAGTTCCGAAGAATTCTATCTATGCCCCAGGCAAACAACTTTTCAGAGTGGACTATTCACCTTGGGTCTTTGTATAACAGAAGACTAAATACATAAAATACATGGGAAATGAGCAAATATATTACCGTGTACTTCTCCCAAAGACAGGCCTTGCCCACCAAAGAAATCTTCAAAGTACACAGGAAGTAAGCAATAGCAACTTTGAAGGAGTTATCTTTACCGCGTGTGCAGATGTCTCCCTCTTGCTGGGACCATAATCCATTTATCACAAAAGGATATGGTGTGAAGATTAAATTTGGAAAAAGATCAAGGTCCATAGACTATACAGATGTATTTAAGCAGCAGGTATCAAGTAACTGCCAACATTATGAAGCGCTTACTACACCAGGCCTTGTGGGGAGCGCGCAACCTGCATGCGCTCGCCTAACCCTCACTCCTCTTCTGAGATAGGAACACTGCAGTGCAGTGACAGGAACTGAGGCCCAGAAGAGGCTGGGAAGTGGCAGAGTCTGCACTTGGACCAGGCTGTTTGAGTCCAGACCCTGTATGTGTGAGCGCCGAAACAGAACTGCTGATTTTCTACCACAAACCTGCTTCTGCCCCGCTGTTTCCGGTTGCTGCACTACCAGCTGTTCAACCCTAAAACCAGGAGGTCATCTTTTGATTCTTCCTTCTTCCTCACTCTACTGTCCAATCCTGATTTCAGTCCCACCCCCCAAATAGATCTGGAGTCTATCCACCTATCTCCACGACCATGTGCCACCCTCTTTCGCCTACTACAAGAGCCTTCTGTTTCTGTCTCCTTGCTGTTGTCACTCTTAAGAGGGATGATTTCCTGGCAACTCTTTCTTCTTTCCTTTCCTTCCCTTTCCCTTTCCCTCTCCCGCTTCCTTTCTTTCGCTTGAGGAAGAAGGCAGAAGCAGATGACCTTCTTAAGCTCTTTCTAGCTCCAGGACCGTTTCTCCTTTTTCTCAGTAAATACTTCTGAAGCACCTACTACGGGCAGGTGCTAGAGATAGAGAATGTCACAGACGAGCTAAATCCCAGGAGGCTGAGGCTCTACATGACAAAAAGACCAAGTATTAAAATGGAATACTGCACTAAATGGGAAGAAAAGAAAGCTAAGTTCATGAAGTGGCAGACTCACTAAAGATTAATTTCACCTCCTAATTGGCTACCCATTATGGTGGCTCCCAAAGCCTGGGAATCACGTTAGAAAGTCCCTGTTATTTGGATTCCCCTTTGCAGGGAAGTAACACTGTAACTAGGGCTTGCCTAAGATTTGATAGATGTAATCAAGAGAGTTGGAAGTGGACATCTGCTGGCATTCTGCATGGCCCCTTGAATGCATCAGTTCTGAAGCCACCTAAATCCTTGGACTCTGCAGTTAAAGGGTCAATAAAGCCCCTCCTTTTTCCTAAGGTTGTTTAAAGTGGGTTTCTGTCACTTGCCACCAAGAGTCCTGATTAACAGCCTCCCCTCACAGTACCTTCCGTCTTTCACTGCTTTACCACAACCCATCCTGCTTGCCACTTGCTAATTTGTTCATTGTCTTCTCCCTCCTCCAACTGAGGGTATTTATGAAACTATGCACCAGACGGTGAAGGGTATTTTAAAAGAAGAATTTCAATAATGTTTTTATCTTCTCCTGAAATATCCTGGGCATGACAGTATTGTAGATAAAGTATTATCTACTTGAAGAGCCAACATCACCTAACGTAACTTAATGACAAAATGGTTAATTGTGAGTTTGGAGTCCAGTCTCTGAAATTAAACATGTGTTAGCTGTTTTACTCTGAGTAAGTTGGGTAACTGCAAAGCCTTGGTTTCCTCATTTATGAAACGGGGATAATACTGTGAGGACCCAATGGGATGATGTCTGGGCCTCAGTTAGCACAGTGTGAGGAGCATATGAAAAGTGTCCAGTAAAAATTAGTTTTAATATAAGCTTTACTATGATAAAAATCACTATAGTTCATAATGACACTTTCTACAGATTACACACTGCATATAAAGACTAGGATAACTTCTACTTGCTCTGTTGAGACATCTCTAAAGAGCCTTTTTCACTCTAGTTTCAAAGTGACACTGTAGTCTGGGGAAGTGGATTCCAGCTCACATTGGTGAGACTAGTTCATGAAATCAAGGCTCTCATACAATATTCCAAGTTTTCCAAATAGCAGTAACCTCTAGTGAGACATTAAATAATAAACAGTGAGTATTAAAATAGGGCGCACACACACAAAATCTGTGTTACCAGGGCAAAAGAAAAAAGCAAGGACACTCGCTCCATAATTCACTAGGAAAACAAGATAGTTCACTTTTACAGTAAAACATCTCATAATATTGCAAATATGTTGGACATGATTTTGCTGATCATTCTTTCCTTAAATGATCTCAAAATTAGGTCTACAAAGTCAGTTTGTCACATGGGCAATTCAGCAAAACAAACAAACAAAAAATTCAGCGAAACAAACGAAAATTGTTATTGTCTAATTCACCCAGGTTGTTCTAGTAAAAAGCAGATGCTGTGCCTGAACCACTTGGTTTTGCAAACTGCCGTCTTCATCTCTCGCTGGATAAAACTAATGGAAGGCTAAATATACAGTGGATAGAATTTAAAACCATGAAAAACATGGGTCACTTAAAGTAACTTATTCTAGTTTATTGACCATTACCCCGTGACCTGACTTCTATGAAAGCTGACAAAGAGAAAACAAAATTTACACAGCAAATTCCAGCTCTCCTGGCCTTATCCAAAGAGGACTTTCTTAAAGTCCCCAAAGGGCCAAGGGCCTAAAGGGACACCTCCACCTCCCCCAAGAAAAGAAATGTCAAAATCATCTTGTTGCAACATCCTAGACTCCTAACAATCAGGCAGCTGTGATCTTAAGGCTGCTCAGCTGATAACGCGCCTCGGCCGGTGGCCGGTGGCGGGTGTTTACCGTACACGAGGCACAAGCCTCACCTGCGCCCGGGAGAGCAGGGCGCACTCCCCAAAGCTCAAAACCCTCTATATTTGCCCCTAAATCTTAACTTTACGCGTCTGGGGTCCTGATGACTAGAAATCATTTGTTTGATATTACACAATTAGACGGTGAAGCGCCGGAAAACGCCTGAAAGGTTCCGCAACTCACTGGTAGACATGTTTGCGCAGGAATGGCTCGACATCTTTTTCAATCCACCTAATCGTTTACCAAGGGAGCTTGAGATAAACTCTAACCTCCCAGGACACATTAACTTCAGGGAAAGAATGTTAACAACTAACTTGAACCCTCTGCTGGAGGCCCGTCCTTCGGTAACTCAACAGGTTGCACGCCCTCCCCCAGGCCTGGG